CTATCTATCTATCTATCTATCTCTATCATCTATCTATCTATCTATCTATCTATCTATCTATCTATCTATCTATCTATCTATCTATCTATCTATCTATCTATCTATCTATCTATCTATCTATCTATCTATCTATCTATCTATCTATCTATCTATCTATCTATCTATCTATCTATCTATCTATCTATCTATCTATCTATCTATCTATCTATCTATCTATCTATCTATCTATCTATCTATCTATCTATCTATCTATCTATCTATCTATCTATCTATCTATCTATCTATCTATCTATCGATCTATCTATCTCTATCTATCTAGCTTCTATCTATCTATCTATCTATCTATCTATCTATCGCTATCTATCTATCTATCTATCTATCTATCTTCTATCTATCTATCTATCTTATCTATCTATCTATCTATTATCTATCTATCTATCTATCTTGTTATTATGAAGGGGAAAGGGGAACAAAAAAATTATTTTTAAATGCTGTAAATTGTCTTACTGTAATTTATTTTTATTGTTGTCCACTTTAAATAAAAAACACAAGAACCTCTTTTGCTTTATGTATTTAAGTGTTGTTTTGTTTGATAGCCGCTGTTTTTTGTCGTTCGCTGGGTACTGATCAACTGAACTGCATGCATGTAAGAAACACAATTATATGTATGAAGTATGCGGCGAATTCAAATAGAGAGAGAGACATACAAAGAGCATAATAAAAACAACCACCAAATGTACATGCATTCCAGTACACTAGTGGTGAATTAAATAAGAGCAGTTCAGTGCCAGTTGAATAATAATAATAATAATAATAATAATAATAATAATAATAATAATAATAATAATAATAATAATAATAATAATAATAATAATAATAATAATAATAATAATAATAATAATAATAATAATAATAATAATAATAATAATAATAATAATAATAATAATAATCTACACTTAAACATTCCGGCCCCCTTGCGGTTACGCAAAATCACAAGAGGACGGAGTGGATATTTATATATATATATATATGTAATTTCAAATAAAAAATTTACAGCAAATTGGAACAATAAATACAAGTTCAAGATTTATATACAAGTTGAGATTACATATCTGTTTTGGTTCCTTTTGACAAATTAGAATGTTTAAGTTTTATAAGATACAATAAGATAAGAAAATAATTACAGTGCTGACAAATTCAATAAGTACAATTCATTTTGGTTTTTTTTGTATGAAACAATAAATTTTTTTTTTAGAAAATTTATACTTTTATAAAGCGATAATTTTAATAATTTTTTTAATAGTTATGGGGAATTCATGATTTTTTGAAAATAATTCACAATACTGAATAGTAATAAATTTTTTATAAAATTTTATATACATAAATTTGGCAAATACAGCTGTCATCTTTAAGATTGGCGAACTTTTCCGATTAGGATCCAGCCTAACACGGTATCCTGGGCCATCGGTGAAGTGAATGTTGGTGGACGGATTTCGGACTTTATGATGTGGGGATAAACATCAGCGCCAAGAATCAAATCTATCTCTGATTGGACGTAAAATCTGGGATCTGCCAAACGTAAATTTTTATATGGCTCAGCAACCGCTGCATCCAGCTCTTGGGGGTGTGGGAATTGAGGTAACTCTTTTGTTACTAGGGCATTTATAATCAAAACAGGTCTTTTAAAAAAGTGTGGTTTAAACATGAGTTTACAAATACGTCTGGAACCTGACCTTTCAATAGGCAATTGGTAGCGGGTTGGTAGAAATTCTGCAATTTGACTCGTATCTATAGATGGATTGATAATGCCTCTAATATCACGCCATTCCCCACCGAGCTGGATGCTAACTAATACTGTTGGTCGAAAGATAGTTGATTGGCGTAGATTAACGTCTGGGTTGGTACGGATGCTTCTGGTAGGCCTGATGAGACAATGGAAGTGCAATATGGTGTGGTGCTTTTGGTGACATTTTCGACATCTTTCAGTACTGCGACATCTTGCCAGGACATGACTATGAGCCAAACAATTTTGACAGTATTTATACTTTTTGACCACTTTAAGTTTATCGGCTACGTTCATATTATTAAACCGGTAGCAAGTACGCAAAGGGTGGTCCCTTTTACATAGACGGCAGTCTGGCTGATGACGTTGTGGTCTTCGTCTCTCGTTGATGGGAGATACATTTCTCGCTTGACGTCTGAGTGAAGGCATAATACTGCAAATATAAGGGAATTATTAGTTTGATGCATTATTAATCGGGGAAAGAAGAACTAATTTGACAATTGGCCTTATTACAATACCAGTTGTAGTAATAATTTCTGCTACTCTGACTTTATTGTCGTGACCAAGGTAAACCTTTTGAATACGACCAAGTCGCCATTCATTAGGGGGAAGATGATCTTTCTTTATAGCTACAAGATCACCTACAACGAGGTTTCTTTGTGGATATTTCCACTTTATGCGTTTGTGCAATTCTTTTAGATACTCTTCTTTCCATCTGCACGCAAAATGATGGTGGAGTATGTTCAATTTTTGCCATCTATTAGCATGACTAAGTGGTCGATTAGAGAAGTCTGGTTCCGGGGGTGATACAAGGGGGGCGCCAATAAGAAAATGGTCGGGTGTTAAAGCACTTATTTCATTGGGGTTGTCACTCATTGGACTTAATGGTCTTGAATTGAGACAAGCTTCAATTCTTGTAAGCATAGTTGTGAATTCTTCAAAGGTAAAATGTTGAGCATGGGATATCTTTTTGAGGTGTGATTTACAACTTTTCACACCTGCCTCCCAGAGTCCTCCCATATGAGGAGCTCCAGGGGGGTTAAAACGCCACTCAATGTTTTGAAACGCATTTTGAGATAGGATGTTCTGTCGTACTTGGGATAAGAAGTTTTCTTGGGTTGTATTGTATATGTTAGCAGCGCCTACAAAAGATGCGCCATTATCAGAGTATAGAACTTGTGGGGTGCCTCTACGGGAGTAAAAACGAGAAAATGCTGCTAAAAAAGCTTGGGTTGAAAGTTCACTGGTGGCCTCCAAATGAATTGCCTTTGTAGCAAAGCAAACAAATACTAGTACATAGCCTTTAGTTATTTTACTTCCACGGCCAGCAAATGACTTTATATTAAATGGGCCGGCGAAATCTAGACCGGTATTAGTAAAAGGGCGCGATAAAAACGTACGTTCGGGAGGCAGAGAAGCCATGATTTGTTGACTCAGTTTTTTCTTAAATAAAACACAAGTCTTGCAGTTAAAAATAATAGTTTTGATAAGATTTTTTAACTTTGGTACCCAAAACTCTAAACGTGCTAGACGTATTAGAAGGGAATTTTCTCCATGTATCGTGTATTTGTGTAAAAGTTCTAAGTACAATCGGGTAAAACGACCTGAGTAGGGGAGAATCTTAGGAAATCTTTCATCATAAGATAGCATCTCACTCCGAGAAAGTCTACCATTGATCCTCATTATATTATCAGAATCGATAAACGGGTTTAAAGTTAACAAGGGACTTTTCTTGGGAATCTCTTGACCTCTAGAAAGCAGTGTATATTCGGGAAAATAGAATTTTTGACAAGAAACCACTAAGCGAAGTTTAACATGTTTCATTTCTGTGTGTTGAATGGTGGGAGAGGGGTAATTATATGTGGTTTTATAACGTGGGTGAGTAGAATGATAAAATCGATATATATAAGCGATTACGCGCATAGCGCGTGAGAGATCAGAGAAGCGGGTAAGAATATCTTCAGAATTTTGATTTACATGAGTTTTTAAAGGTCTAACCTCTTCGTGTGTGTCTATAACTGGCAAAACTGATGGCCATTCAGAACTAGGGAGTTTAAGCCACTTTGGTCCATGCCACCATAGATCGTTGCAAATCAAATCGTTTGCTGTAAGACCTCGAGATCCTAGATCAGCTGGGTTATCTTTAGAGGAAACATGACGCCATTTATCATTACCAACTTTATCTACTATAGATGTGATTCTATTGGCGACGAAAGTGGTCCAATGCGACGGGTGTTTTTGAAGCCATGATAACACAATAGTTGAATCTGTCCACAGATGTAGATTGCATTTATCAAAATTAACTTGCGACAGAAATGTAGATATCAATTTGGCTAACAGTTCAGCGCCACAGAGTTCCTTCCTGGGGAGCGTAACGAATTTTACTGGGGCAACTTTAGTTTTGGCTAAGAGTAAATGAGTAGATATATGACCTGTTTCGCTTGTTGTTCGAAGATATAGGGTAGCAGCATAGGCTTTTTCAGAAGCATCACAAAAACCGTGAAGTTCTGCTGAGTATGAGGGGTTATAATTTACAAATCGGGGTATTTTTATCATTCTAATGTTCGGGTAATCATCTAAAAACGCTAGCCAACTATGCAAAGTTTCGAGCTTGAGGGGTTCATCCCAATCGATTTGATCTTTCCAGATTTGTTGCATTATTATTTTTGCAACGATGATCTTTGGGGCTAGCCATCCAGCGGGGTCAAATAATCATGCAATATCTGACAAAACAGTTCGCTTGGTTATATTATTTCGGATTGATTGAGTTATGGGGTTAAAATAGAAATAATCTTCACTCGCATTCCAGCGGAGTCCTAATGTCTTAGATGTAACTGTGTCTTCAAGCTCTAATGTATCAGACATAAGTAAATGTTCAGGTTCTAAGCCTTTTAGTAGGGATTTTTCGTTTGATATCCATTTACGGAGAGGGAATCCGGCAGAATTTAAGATTTTAATTAGGTTATCTCTTGATTTTAAGGCTAAAGAAAGATCATGGGATCCTGCTAGTACGTCATCGACATACATATTCTCTTTAAGTATGGTAGAGATTTCGGGGTAATCGTGATTACAGCATTTAGCAAGTTCAATAAGAGTTCGCAGGGCTAGATATGGAGCACAGTTAACTCCAAATGTTACGGTCTGTAGCTCAAAATCTTGGGGTTCTTTGTCAGGAGAACTTCGGAATAAAATCCTTTGAAATGGGGTGTGATGTTGATTAACAATCGATGTCGGCATTAAAAACGTATTTGAACAAACGCCAACGGGTTATAAGGACAGTTAAATCTTGTTGTAAAACTGGACCGGGGTATAAGACGTCGTTTAGACTTAGTCCTGACGTAGTGGGGTTAGAGGCGTTGAATACAACACGTAGTTTAGTAGTTGTAGATTCGGGTTTGAGCACAGAATGATGGGGTAAATAGTATGAACAGTTAGATCGAGTAGATGAATCTGGTTTTACGGGAATCATATGGTTCAATGTTGAATATTCTTGGATTACTTTATAGTAATCATGCTTTAATGTAGGGTTATTAGTGAGTCTACTCTCATTTCTAAGAAATTGTGATAATGCAGAGTTGCGAGTGTTGCCAAGGGGAATATTATTAGAATATTCGGATTTAAAGGGCAGGGAGACAACGAATCGACCATTTTCGTCTCTAAAGGTTGTACTTTTGTACAAATTTTCGCAAAAGATATCTTCATCAGATTGGGTTGGTTTTTCATAAACTTCTTCGAGTTCCCAGAATTTAGTAAGTTGTGTATTTAGATCGATAAGATTCATATATGAAGAAACAGAATTTAGAAGAGGGGTAGGAGATTGTAATTTTCCAGAGATTATCCATCCAAAAATGGTACGCTGAGCGACGAGTGATCGATTATAATCCCAACGAATACCATCTCTAAGGATTTTTGGGTAAACATCACAACCAATCAAAAGTTCAACATTCGAAGTTTTAGCAGAGTAGCTATCAGCTAAGGGAAGATCAGAAAACTTGGTACTCATAATGGAAGAGAGTTCGTAATAGGGTAAGTCTCCTGTCAGTTTATTAACAACGAATGCATCGGTTGAAGTTTTAAAGAGTTTTTCTAGAGGGGAACTTATTGTAATAGTACAAATTCGAGTAGCAATAGCAGATAACGAACCGCTAAGACCCGTTATAGTGGTATGTGAAGTTTTTGTGGGGATTGCCAGAGAAGCCTGGAGTTTTTTAGAAATAAAGGTTGCTTCGGAGGCTGAATCGATAAGAGCTCTTACAGTACAACGCACATCTCCTACACAAACATCAACTAAAGCTGTTCCAAGGATAACAGAGTTATATGTTGTGGACTGTAGTTGCGTTGAATACGCTTGACGTGATCTTGCTGCAGCAGCAGCTGAAGTTGTGGGGTTATCAACAGGATTGCCATTGGTTTGTGAGGGATTTGAGTCGTGATTAGTATTACCATTATTATTGTTCATTGAGTAATCGTTAAAGGATCTATTGTTCGCTAGTTGGGTTACAGGTTGATTTTCGGAACGGTGTAAGAGGGAATGATGTTTCTGTTTACAGAATGAACATCTGAATTGACTTTTACAAGATTTATGATCATGTGAGGCTGCTAGACATTTAGTACACCGCCTTTGTTTTTTAACCAACGAATATCGATCTTCACTTGACATTGATAAGAAAGTGGGACAAAACCTTAAGGGATGTGGTTCTTGACAAATTGGACATTTTAGAGGCTTATCTGTTTTAACTTTTGTTTGAAATGTATTAACTTTTTTATTATTATTGGGATTCTGTTTCTTCGGATTATATTTCTTGTAGGTGTTGTGAGAATCGGACGAAGTAGTCCGTATATCCGCGAAACCTTCAAGGGATTGATACCTAGAAGTTAGAAAGCTATCCATTTCCTGCCAAGTGGGTAATTCTTTACTGTTCCCTAAGTGTTGTTGCCATAAATGTAAGCTGATATCAGGAAGACATTTCGCACAGATAAAAACAAAAATAACATCCCAGTTTTTGGTATCTATTTGAAGCAGAGAAAGATTTTTAATACAATCGTTTATCGATTGCTGCAGTTGTTTGATACAGCGACCAGACTCTTTACTAATAGGGTTATTTAATAAGCTGAATAGTGTTTTCAGTTGTGAATTTACAAGAATACGAGAATTTTCGTATCGTTCGACTAAATTCTTCCACGCCAT